TGCGCCGCCCGTATCCAGGCNTAGTGGGAGGCCTGCCCACGCTACATAAAAATTGAGGAATACTGAGGAATACTGAACTATGTCATGTTGATCTTTCTAATAATTCTTCTAATGTCCAAGTTCTCAGTGCAGACGAAGCTCTGAACAAGTTTAGAGAAACTCGCGTGTGTCACAGCTTGATTGTAAAACTTAGTTTGTACAGTTTCTAATTAATTGTACGAGTATGTTAGAGTTATTAAAAGTGTTCATTTCAAGCGCATCTCTCTCTGTTTAGTCTACTGTTTAAATCTTTGAATAGGGATTATTTAATAATTTCAAATACCTACATCTCTCTCAAGCGGTATACGGTTAAATAGATCTATAGAAGGATGGGAAAATTCACATCGTGTGGTGATTTTAAAAAGCATAATTAAGATTTTAGTTATTTCAGTAATAGGTCATTTAGTCACACTGCAGGAGTACGACTCTCAAATTTACCATAGCTGTACAAATGGAAGGTTTGGTACTCCTCCCAAACAACGGGTATACGTAAATAAAAAGTAGGAAATAATAATAATCAGTAGAACTAGATGCTTTTTCTTTGGCCAGTGCCTTCATACATAATTAGTTGTAAAAATAAACCATTAGAATAAGTATTTTTACTTCGAACAGTACCAAATCTTTCAAAAAGCTCTAATTTACAAGCTCAGCTTGTGTAATCAACCGGGAAGCAACTTTGTTTCGTACGGGCTTCCTGCTAAAACTTTGGTCTTAGCTTTGCGAAGTTCATGGAGCTTTTTGTTTGAGACTAGTTTTTATTTTTGTAAGACATTGGCTAACGGATAAAGCCGGAAGGTCCATTCAAATACATTTTGGAAAGTAGACGCATAGAATTGGAGTTACCAACTTAAATAATTGCTCTAATTGCAAAAGATAAAGTAAAAGTATGGTGCATGCTATGTAATGAATAATTTTGAGGCAGTTTGATAGGGATTCTCTATTTTGAAATGAACATTGGTGAAAATTATGATGGTCATTATTAAACAGCCGATTTAGAGTTATAGGTAAGGTGTGTATCAAGGTGTGGTTTAAGACCTTTCTTCTTTTTAAATCAGTCGACTTTTCAAGTTTCAGTTGAATAACATTGATTAATTTCAAACAAAAGATGTCCACTGCTATGATTATTTTATATGCTGGAGCATTCCACGCGAAGCGGACAGGTAAAAAAAGTCGATGTTTCCGATTTCAGTAATATTTGAGTATGTTCTACCTATACATATTATTGATACGTGTACCAAATATTTTTGTAATATAATGACTAGTTTAAGAGTTATGGGTCTTCGAAGTTTTCGACAACCGGTTGGCATGCAGTACTTCAAAGCCGATTATAGAGTTATAAAATTATATATTAAAATAATTAAACCATGGGATTTATTACTTCATTTACCGTGCTTTTTAACTGTATTTTTGGAAACGAAAAAAAATTTATTTTTTCCTAAAAAAAATGCAAATTAATTTTTTTTCCTTGATTTTCACAAAGTTCGACCCATTCGATTTTTTTAATTTTTTTTATTTAAATAGCTAATATTGTGTAGAACATTCATGCCAACTTTCAAAGTGGGCGTGGAAGTGGATTAGGAGCTAGACTGAAAATACTGCCGAAGGGTGGCGTCCAGCGCCGCGCCGTCACGCTGCCGCGCCTGAAGCCTGCCGCCTGTGCGCGTTTAATGAAACTGACAAGCAAATAAAATCACTTTTGACGGAATGTTTTGTAGATTTTTAATAACACCAATACATTTTTAATACCTATTAAATACTAAAATACGTTATAAAATAAAGTAGTAGTAGTAAATAAAGTTGCGTTTTTCCGCATCGTGAAAAATAAATTACATTACTCGTAACTGTGAATATTTCCTAACAAAAATAGAATGAGCTGTTATTTTTATACCTTTCGAGATACAAAAGGCGAATTTGTGGGAGGCAGACGGTCATCAGTGCTTTCATCCTATTCCTATGAAATTAAGTGGCTCATAATAATTTTTAGATATAATGAATACTAGACCTTTCATTCTATCTAGTCTTTTGAAAGGTCGTAAATTATTGGTAATTAGAAGATATTGTGGACCGGATTAATAGATCCACCAGTTAATTTAGGTCAGGACCCAGAACCGAACCGAACCGGCCGTGCCGTCCGGCATGTGCGGATACGCCATAACTAGGCTTGTGTAGTACATGTACTATGTACTAATAGGAAGCAATTCCCTTAATTAAGTGAACGAGAACGAACTATTCCGTCTTGGTCGTTCAAATCGGTCTTTTAGTTCACTTTAGTACAGCCGATCACTAATGAATAGGTGTGAACGAGACGTGAAATTGGTGACAAGCGCGCGCGAGCGAGATGGATTCGGCTCTGTGTGTTGCGAGTATTTTGCGACATTGTACTATAAGAAGATAGTAATAAAGACGTTTTTCGTCCGATCTGATTTAAAAAATCGGTGTACTAAAATGAACTAATAGTGCTAGAATGAGACGTGAGATCAGTGACATGTGAGCGCGAGTGAGATGGGTACGGCTCTGTAACTGTGTTGCGAGTATTTTTCGATATTGGACCATAAATGCATAAGAATAAAGACTTTTTTCGTTCGATCTACCTAATAGAATCAGTGTAGGTACTAAAATGTGCTAGTTAATAGTACTAGAAAACCGAACTAGTTCATTTGACCGATTTTCGGAGTTCGGTGCGATCCTTTCAGTGTCCGAGTAAGAACAAGCCTGGCCATAACGTATTTTTTAGTATTTAATAGGTATTAAAAATGTATTGGTGTTATTAAAAATCTAAAAAACATTCCGGCAAAAGTGATTTTATTTGCTTGTCAGTTTCACTAAACGCGCACAGGCGGCAGGCTTCAGGCGCGGCAGCGTGACGGCGCGGCGCTGGACGCCACCCTTCGGCAGTATTTTCAGTCTAGCTCCTAATCCACTTCCACGCCCACTTTGAAAGTTGGCATGAATGTTCTACACAATATTAGCTATTTAAATAAAAAAAATTAAAAAAATCGAATGGGTCGAACTTTGTGAAAATCAAGAAAAAAAAAATAATTTGCATTTTTTTTAGGAAAAAATAAATTTTTTTTCGTTTCCAAAAATACAGTTAAAAAGCACGGTAAATGAAGTAATAAATCCCATGGTTTAATTATTTTAATATATAATTTTATAACTCCATAATCGGCTTTGAAGTACTGCATGCCAACCGGTTGTCGAAATCTTCGAAGACCCATAACTCTTAAACTAGTCATTATATTACAAAAATATTTGGTACACGTATCAATAATATGTATAGGTAGAACATACTCAAATATTACTGAAATCGGAAACATCGACTTTTTTTACCTGCCCGCTTCGCGTGGAATGCCCCTGCTGCTATAATTTATGAAGGATTGTACCGGAATAACCTTGGCACTGCAGGATATTTGAAAAGAAACTCTTCAATATTGGTGTGTAATCTAGTGGATAGAAATAAAGAGTGACAATAGTTTTTAGAACGAGGAACGTTGCTGATTAACTGTTAGTCGCGCGTTGAGACGTTGAGCGAAGATATTAACAGGGAGATGGTATATGGTCGCCGGTTCTCGTGACGTGCTGCGTAGATGGCGCCATGGATGTCCAAACAAGGATTCTCCCAAGGAAAGAAGAACGGTCACGCCCCATACAAAAAAAACCCAGACCCGACAGAAACGAGACATACCTCAGTTTTTTTGTCATGTCTTAATTAGTTAAATTATATATTTTTTATTTTCGAAATCTATGTATAACACCAAAATATTACCCTTTGTTTTTGTTGAGGCGTTATACAAAAACTAATACAAAATGCCTATTTATCACCAAAATTGGTAAATGTATGTACCTAAATGTCTATTACAGCTGCTATGGAATGTATCTAGGTGACCTGGAGATACAGCCGGATTATACAGGGTGGAAAAAATAATAAGTTACAAAATCCAAAAATTCTATGTTACCAGCTTCCATAATCTGTACCCTATTAATGGTACCATTTGAAAGAGCTTGTTAATCACTTTCAGAATCAGTAACTAGTTTTTCGATATCTTGTATAGNTTATTCGATTCTAGAATATATTCCCAAAAAGTCTGAAAGGTGTTTTAATTTGTATCACTTGGATATGATTTCTAGTAGAAAGTGTTGTGAGTGTGACGCTTGAAGGGAAGGAAGTCAACCTAACCTAACCAACTGCGTATTTCTATACTGTGTAGCTGGAAATTGTGGCGGGAGCTCTTTGACGCGCTGTTTTCGGCGAAGAATTGCGCGCGCAGATTTTGACAGCGCGAAATACCTACTTTAGAAGAAATACCAAGCCTTAAGCGACCTATAGATAAATAGAGAAGAATGATTTAATCTATCACACACTTAACTTCACCCTGTAACTGTCACAAAGAAAACAATGGAAGCACTAACAGCTACAAAACGTATTGTCCAATACAATATCCAGAACAAAACAAATTGAAATAAACAAGGCTAAAATATACCAGAGCCTGAGAGAAGAAATTGCTTGTGGAAATTGTGCTGTGGGTTAGGGGCACCATTAATTTGGATTAACTGGGATTGTTTAGTTTTTTACGCCGGGTTTTTTTGCAGGATAAAGGAAAATCGTGGTTGTATATGGGTCGAGAAGTTTCCATGAACGTGGAATTTATTAAATGATTTTAAACCTTGTGTCCACCCACAAGGTGGACCGACGACCTGATAAAGGTAGCAGGAAAGCGCTGGATGCAGGCCGCTACCAACCGTGCGATGTGGAAGTCATTGGGGGAGGCCTATGTTCAACAGTGGACGTTCTATGACTGAAATGATGATGATGATGATGATGAACCCTTGTGTTAGGAAAAACTAACTTCCAAATTGATTGGAGAAATCAATATCAACTGAGCAAGAATCGACGCCTGGATTGGTAGGTATATTGGTACCAAATAAACATCTTTTCTTTCTTTACTTGTTAACATTTATAGGACAAACTTTTAGTNGGGATAGAAAATCGGAGAGACAGATACTTGTGGGTTTTTCCGAGAATGTGAAAGGATACCGCATCTATGATCCAAAAAGGAATGCAGTAACCACCAGCAGAGATGTTATTGTGATGGAAGGAGAGACAGGACTGACAGATTCAGATGAAGATTCCAACAATATCTGGGTCCTGAATAATGATGAAGCTGTGGTGTGTGCAGAGGATAGGGATTCAGTGGGGGATGTGAAACAGCAAGAATCCCTGAACTGTCCAACCACAGTAACTACAGTTACACAATCTTCAGAAAGAGCAGATGGTGGAGAAGCAACAAATACTTCAGGTGTGAATCCAGTTACTCAGACTCCAAATACCAGGCCGAAGAGACAGAGGAGACCACCACAAAAGTATGGTTTCACAAATCTATGTACTAGCAGTGCAGCAGATATGGAGGAGATAGATTTTGTGGAAGTCATAAGTTATAATCTTCATTAGCATGGTATGAAAGAGTAAAAGATTGTTTAGTTAACATAGGTTTCAAGATTAGTAAGTTTGAACCTTGCTTGTTTACAAAATTTGATGATGATGTTAAAATCATAATTTGCTTGTATGTTGATGATTTTCTTATATTCTCTAATAATAGCTTGCAAACTGAACAATTAAAAAAAATGTTGGGTTCAGAATTTAAGTTGAAAGACTTAGGACCTGTCAAACGTTATTTGGGCATGAATGTTAATGTTGATAGAGAAAATAATGTAATAACTGTAGATCAGCTTCAATATATAGAGCAGTTATTGTCTAAGTTCCAAATGTCAGATTGTAAAACTATAGATATAGAGAGGCTATATATTTAAGGAATTTAATTTATGAGCTTACAGGCAAGTTAGATGTAATAACTTTGTATTGTTATAACAAAAGTGCTTTAAGTTTGGCAACAAGTCACCAATGTCATAACAGGTCAAAGCATATTGATGTCAGACATCATTTTATTAGAGATTATATTATAGATGAAATTATTGAAATTAAATATTTGTGTTCAAATGAGATGCCTGCTGACTTGTTGACAAAGGGATTAATGTCGTGTAAGCATTATAGGTTTCTTCATTTATTAGGCATTACAACTGACTAATGTAATAGGTTTTGTCATGATTAATTAAATGAAACACAGTTTGAATTTAATAAGTTTATTTTGTTAAGTGGGGGTATTGATATTAGAACTTCTTGTAACAAAATATGTATTAAATATTGTTTATGGTAGCATGTGAAAGAAATAAAACACAGTCGTTGCAAAAATCTACGTTTGTTTCAATAATCTAGTGGATAGAAATAAAGAGTGATAATAGTATTTAGAACGAGGAACGTTGCTGATTAACTGTTAGTCGCGCGTTGAGAGGTTGAGCGAAGATATTAACAGTGAGATGTTAATGGTCGCCGGTTCTCGTGTTGTGCTGCGTAGATGGCGTCATGGGTGTCCAAACAAGGATTCTCCCAAGGAAATTTCTCGAAAAGTGACCACGCACCGACAGGCAAGTCACCTACTCGATAGCACCTAGAAGCGGGCAGCGCAGGACCAGTTGTTGTGGAAATGCTTAGTGTATACCTTTGTCCAGGATTTGAAGTTGAAACGTGTTATGTTATGTATTTCTGTCAGATCTCATCCCGTGCCAAAGGCCGGTCAAACATTTCCCCAACCCCATAAACACCGTTTCCCATTATTGGCACTAATACAAGCAATATCTGGGCCGACTGCCAACCGAACGGGCCCGTTAATGTCCACCGTTGGGCTATACGCTGGTCAGACAGGCGGTAATGGATGTACGCCGCGAGGGGTTGCATAGTTGTCAGTAAGGGTGCGTTCATAAGACCAATCACATTCCAAGAGTTAGACTCTGGGGGCTGTGTTTCAAATCAAATAAAATTCATTTAATTAACAGACTACCATTGATTCATGTTTCATCTCATGACCGTCTCAATGAGACTCTCATTTTTACTTTTTTTTATTATTTACAATACTCGATATTTTTTTACTTCAGTTGTTAATTATAATTTTTTTTTATCCACAACGAGGAAGCTCTTGGCCTGTAATGACTCAACACTGTATTAAAATGAAAGGTTTTTTTTATGAAAATTACATAATATGGAAGAGTTTACATAATCCAAATTCATCAGAATTTTCATTATTTTAAATTGGCTATAATAGTCAATTGAAAACTAACGTAGTTTTCATGGCTTAAATGAAGTTTTTACTCAAATTTTCAAAGTTATTCAGCTTTTTCGCTGTGAAAATACCCAGTAGGCACTGGGTGTTCATGTGAACGCACCCTTGCATGTTTTTCTTGTTTATGTTCGGCAGAGTGTGTAATGATTGGTAAAGAGGAAAATAAAGGCGAACATTAGTTTATTACCCGTTTTGTCGGACCTAATGGCCGCTTCATCCGTTGAGAACGTTCCGAGTGATGTAATGTAAACTAATCCCTTGGGTGGTGATTTATTTGTTTGTAACGATTGGAATGTGTAGACAATACATCAAGTGAAAAATTTTAGCTTCTTTTGTAGTTTTAGTAGATGCTATTTTACAACGAAAATGTTAATAGTGAGCTGTAAAATGCACAAAGTTTGTTCTAGCCACAGATCACAGAAACTAAAGGGAGATGTGAAAAGGGGCGGGGCCGGTGTCGCAGCAATATGCCAAAAAACAGAACACATTGCTCGCGACAGCAATGATGACACCAGCGACGTCGTTTATGTAAAACCCCAATTTAATTATTAAATTATTATATGAAACAAACCTTAAAATATAAACGGTTTGTGACTTTCCAGTCATTTAACAGATTTGAAGAGGAAATAAGCATTTTGTCTGTTTAGTGAAAATGATAATATCAGATGAGAAGCAGCGGCGTGGTAAAGCGGATTCGATTTCCGGTCACGACAAGTCGGAATGGACGTTTGAATTGAAAATCTGTGTTTTCAAAGTTACTTTGGCAAAAATCGTGATATCAAGATTTTCAAAATACTTTTAAATCAGAGATACACACGTTTCTAAGGCATAAATGGGCTCAATGGTAGTTGATCTTATAAATATCCTTGGAAATGTTACATAACGCTATTTAGTCCCAAACTAAGCAAATCTTGTACAATGGGTACCAGACCAGACAATGGATACAAAATATTGGATTTTTTTAAATGCACAATTTTGTTATATCTACATAGATAGAAAACAACCAGACCAATTTATAGAGATCTATGTACAAGCACACAGTAAATTGTTTGTATTTAGTGGGGAGCGAACCCGCGACCCCCTAGAGCAGAGTTCCGCAAATGGTGTACCGCGGTACACTGGTGTACTGTGGTTTTTAGATGCCTCGGAAAAATAGGATTATCTTATAAACTTATTTTTAGTAAGTAATTACTTAAAAATTAATGTTTCAATGTGTGGTGTACCTCCAAAAAATTTCGTTTTCTAAGATGTACCTACCTTGTACACAAAAATTTGCGGAACCCTGTCCTAGACTATAATGGCGGACCATTAGGCCAGCCAGTATTTGTTTGTTGTAAGTATTGCTAAATTCTATTAGCACGGACTGTATTATTATTATCAATACTTAGTTCCAGATAATAAGCTTCCATACAAACACGATTGCTGAAACAATATTTGCCTAGATCTGTTTATGTTTGCTTAGGGAATACACGCAACATTAATACAATTAAAAATCTATTAATAGCTCGTTATGCTCGCTCATGTATTTACACTAAAGGTATTTCTAGTAAGTGTTAAATACATTTTTAGAGTAAATATTGATAGAAAATTTCAATAATATTTAACACGCAATAACACAGCTTTTAACCGATAAGATAAAATCTATATTTTAAATGCACAAAATCAAATTATTATCAGTCAGACTAACGTTGCCCTTGTAAGATTCGAACCTTGCACTATGATGAAGAAACTGCTTCTTCGTAGCAGCTGATAGTCTTATAGTAGTGTTAGGGCGAACTATAATATATTTAGGACGCCCTTTGGGAGCCAATTTTTTTTTTTTTATGTAAATATCTTTGGACAATCTCACACAGCGCCATCTAGCCCCAAAGTAAGCAATTAATATGCTTGTGTTATGGGTGCTAGCTTAACGGATATACTACTTATATACTTTTTTTTTTTTTAAATACATACATATTATACATAGTAACACCCAGACCCGTCACAGAAATTAAAATTCATCATTTCAATTTCTGCCCGGCCGACCTCTCGGCATAGTAGTCCGTTCTGAACCACTACACCAAACGGCCGACGAATTATTTATCACCTAATTAAGAATTTAAAAACCATTACAATACCATAAATATTAGTATTATATCCACAGATCACAGAAAGTAAAGGGTGAAAATTTAAAAACTATTATGATACCATAAATATAATTATAACCACAGATCACAGAAAGTAAAGGGAGATGGGAAAAGGGGGCGGGGCCGATGTCGCAGCAATATGCCCAAAAACAGAACACATTGTTCGTAAAAGCAATGATGACAGCAGCGACGTAATAATGTAAACAGTTTACATTGCTTGCGTAGTACTAAAGATTATTCGAACGTTCAATACTGATACCGCAGTGGATAATAAGAACATAATATTTTGATTTCTTTGTGTGAATTTTTAATGCGACACTGGGTTTTGAACTCAGTTAGTATAGTTATCTGTATGATTATAACATAGATGATAGTGATAGAGAATAGATCTATTAGTAATAGAGAATATTAATTTGAATAATATGGCTTTGGATTCGAAATCTTATGGATAATCTTACCCAATACATTTTGCAAGTACCTTTACGGCAGTATGTTGATATATCCTCCATTATAATCCTCGTCTTTTGATTCCCTAAAATCATAAATGCCAACACGCTCGTCCTGACTTGCAGATCCACAAATCAATTTCTAAAAGGATCCCCTAATCCTTCAAATTCGTTCGTACGGAACCCGGCAAATCTTCCTTAATATACACGGAACGCATTTTGTTGATTGATTTTTGGAGGTCTGTAGTTGAATTGTGGCAGTGATGTTTTTGGGGTACCGTGTAAGTTTTGGAGTTTATAACTTTGATATTGATAGAGATACGATCATCATCATCAGATTATTTTGTTGCTGATCAATGCCCTATTCATCATAATTATCATCATCATGAAGTATTGATTAAAATGTCCCAAAAGGTGACTAATGCCTATTTTCACCATCAATTCTTACCCTCTTACTAATAAAACCTACACGTTCGTTGAACAGTGTTTTAAAGTGACACGTTTAGTAATGAAAATGTCATTTTAAAACAGTGTTCAACAACTGTTTAACTTTTTATTAGTAAGGGGGTTAATTTTTAAGTGACGCATATGGTAACACATAACAGGAATTTTGTTTTCATTGGGGTCACTTAAAAATTAGGGATTGTTGGTGAAAACGGACATGAGTTTCTTCCGCCACTTTTTTTTCTGCACCATCCGATATGTTGTTCCGAAGAGGTACTAGTGCAAGCTATACTTGAGATATTATGAATAAGTGCCCTGAAAAGGGCCTGTATACTAACAAAAAAAATTTTGAATTTACCAGAGGCAAAAAAGTAGAGCCATCATCATCAGACTATTATGGCTGTGTTGCACCATGCTTTAACTTTAACAAACGTCAAAATTCTGCCAAACTCCTTACAAAAACACGGTTCATTGTTATAGTTACGGTTGAAGTAATTTGGTGCAAGTCAGCCTCAGTTTCCTCTTCAATTTACCAGAGATAAAGGAGGATTTAATTTTGGGCTGCACTCCTGACGCTGGCCAGATGGTTTGCGGAACTGATGGGATGGGAAGCTTGATATTCATTGTATACCTATTTTATCCCTTAGTCGCTTTTTACAATGTTATACTTTTAATTTATGTTTAATTCCGATAAAATAGTTTTTAAAACCTACAGAACCTCTTTTCTCATCGTTCTCTTTTCTAGTTCACTCTTGTCAAATATTTTCCGGAAATTTTTCCATTTCCTTCGACAGTAGGGTTAGTTAAGATAAATGATGGTTCAATGCGAAGGATTCTAACGGGATCACAAGGATTTGGTTCAAGTAGATTTGAAAAGAAACGCTATAGTTATCCAGAGACTGTAGGGTCGGACAGTCTGCATCAAGATAGAGACTTATGTAGTTGAAATAGGTGATGTTTTGCAATACAAATGTGGAGTCTGATGTTCTGACTATTCGTGACAATTAATTAACGGTTTACGTTT